AAAAGCCTTCGAATGTCATTATGAAAAACAGACTGTTTTTATAAGATTTTGTGATGTTCTAAACTAAAAATATTTGGTAGTTAATTGGTAAATACACTAATTAAGCTACTAGCATTAGTGTGGGCTTGACCCGTCCCTTAACAAACAAGCTTTGGTTTCCTATTGATTACGTTCAATAATAAGTATAATAAGTGTAACTCGGCTCCAAAATGGACCCCGCCAAAATTGATCCCGCAGCTTTGTTCGAAGGTGCTACCACCCCTTTCACGCGGAAGGCTAATCCAGTCATTGCGCCCCAGAGAACAACCCCTGGTGTCTTTGCACCCTCCCTTAACCCTCCCTTAACCCTCTCTCTGTACCCCTCCACAAAAGAACGATTACCTTTCCTTAACGAGAGATGGGGGATGAAGGGGAGATGAGAAATGATTTTGGCTTAAGGTCTTTTAAGTAGCACCGTAATTTCCTTATTCTTTCTTACTCCCCTTCATCCACTCCCACGGTTTTGTTCGGCTTCAATTAGATGACTCTTCTCCTTTCTGCAGAGTTGAAAGGTAAATCAATAGCTGGGGTAAGGGCTATCACGTAATAAACCCAGTCGGGACTTAGCGAGCTAGAAAATGGCCCACTGAAGTACTTTTCCGAAGAAAAACCAGAGAATGTTTATAATCCATCAATGTTGTTGGTTTACCATGAGATGACATGCTCGTCACATCCGTTTCACATGAGAAAGTGTTGAATCACTGAGTTACTTGTGGTGAAAGATGCAGAAAACTTAAGTCACATTCAAGTAAGAAAACGGAAACAAATAAGAATCAGCTCCTATCACTCGAATTGAGTAATCATGAGTCTGAAAACCGGAATGATTTTGAAGCGGAGGTTCAATAATTTTAGAAGGGAATTGTTGAACAATAAAACAAATTACTCACAAACAAAATAAATGATTAAAATACGAATTGATTGTGATGACAGTGATCACAAAAAAGTATTAACATTCACATTTACTAATAGTATTGCAAAGAAACTACAGAAAGTGTTCAAAGTATTTGAGTTATCAAAATCGTTTCTGAAAATTCTATGATTGGCAAATAATATTCTCAACACTTTAAACTGTTGAAGGATAAAATAGTTAAGCTTTTAAAACCATACTCCAAATTGTAATAGGCAGTGATTAAGGAAGAAACACATCAACTAAGTAAACCTTCTCTGTTTTTCAGGTAAATTATAGTATTTCTTTCTTTGATACAAAATGTTTGTTTTGGCCCTCCGAAAACACAAATTACACTGCAATGATAAACCTTCGTTAAATTTGAAAAGATGTATTCCCCCAACTTACTGTATTATGTACAATACAGAGGAAACTATATGTTTTCTCTAATTTTAAACATAATAAGTTTTTTTTAAACGCTCTTTGGAAATTATATTTTCCGACTTAGTAAAACGGCATTTCTCATCTAGTATAAAGTATTAGAAATGTTCTCCCAATAACATCGGTCTATTATGACCCGTCCTTCTTTGATATGTTAATTTCTGAATGATCTTTCTTCACTACTTATTATAATTGAGATATTTTTGCATACCGGTATGCATAGTTAAAATGTGTCAAATGCGTGCTATTAATACCACATTGAAATAATTGCCACAAATTTGAATGGGTATGTATACGATAGAATCTAGCTGTATGCTTTTACCAAAAAAGGTAGCTTTCATAGTCGCTATACAAAATCAACAGTGAAGTGCATATCCATTATCCTTTTCAATACCAACAAAAATAAATGGAGTGTCCTAATCAAATTTTTTTAAATTTAAAAACGCGTTGTATTGAAGCTAGATTAATGGAATGAAAGTTGAAAATCGCAATTTATAGATAATAGCAAAAGTTAATGAATAACATGATGATGCCAATAGAAAAAAGTAAGGAACACATGATTATGTAATCCGGGAATACTTCTGAAATACGTTCATTTCTAAATGTGTGTTTTCCTCCTCGGTGAGTATTTGGTACAAAAAGAGCAAAAGTATCTAATTATCACGAAAATACGTGTAAAAAATAGTAAGGTATAGACATATTCTTGTAATATCTTCTGGAGTGATTTTCAAATACGTTTATTTTCTTAGTGTCTGTTCCCTCCTTAGTAATTATATGATAACATGAAACAACAACTTATAACATACCATAACGATACGTGTACAAAATAATAGGGTAGAGACATAGTTATGTAACATCTTTGGGGAGTGGGCTGTCGATCTTTTGGGATGTTCCGTTTCTGATTGTTTGTTTTCGTTCCTCAGGATTTGTCTAATATATATTTAATTTCAATTCAATATTTTTTTCTAAACTTCTACGCCTTCTATGTCTCACCCAGAAACGATAAACCCTTTTGCTATTGTTGAATATCATGAATAACATGAAATGTGAACCCAAATATGGGGTTCACATGCTATTATTATCCAGTAAGCAATTTACCACATATTTACCACGCACATAAATGTAAATAACACTGACCGGGGTGAATACCTAACATTCCTCGAGGGGAAATCTACTACCTGCCCCACATGCCCCAAAGAGTGCATTGAATTCACCTGTCGAAAAGATTATCAAATCTCATTTATATTTGCTGCTTCATTTGTACATTTACGACATTTTCGCATGATGAATTACTACGTTCGTAATACTATAATTTCTGCAAAATGTACATATCCTTTTTTCTTCAGAATCCTATTTTCTTATCTGTCATTGCTTATCCATCAAGTGTTGGAATCTTTGGTGACATTTACTTGTTTTTTTTTTTTTTTCATTTCGATGGGAAATTATACGGATGGGGGTGGGGCGGGTCGGAGTCGGGGTAATTATTCACAGGCTGTCAGAGTATTGAACCGAACTGTTATTCAAAAACACGTACTCGACTTTAATCCTTTCTCCCCCAAATCATTATCTTCTTCTCTTGGTGGGAGATAATCAAGCCCTACAGAAGAGACGAAATAATCCTCTTCTATTATTCTCTTTCTTTTGTTCCCACCGCCGAGAAAAAAAACCCGACTGGGGATATGAGAAGAGAAGAGAAGAGGGAGAAAGAGAGAGAGAGTGTTAGAGAGAGTTAGAGAGAGAGAGAAAGAGGGATGGAAAAAGAGAAACAGAAAGAAAGAAAGAGAAACGGAGATGAAAATAAAGAATAAAGCAGAGAGAAAGAGAGATAGATAAATAGATGGATATAAAGATAGAGGGAGAGACAGAGAGAGAGAGAGAGACAGAGAGAGAGAGAGAGAGAGAGAGGGAGAGAGAGGGAGAGGCCCCAGAGCACCACAAGAGTCCAATCAATTGTTACGACAACCCATCAAAAAGTAACCTCTCAGGTGAAAGAAAAAAAACTTTGATATTTCTGAAGTGAATTAATGGTCCAATTTTGACTGATGAGTGTCTCCAAAGCCCCTATAGAAATTACCCCATGGAGGTGCTCCATCATTTACGATGCCAAAAATTATTTATTACTTCATTTATCTTTTTCGTTTTAAGAAGGATGTGTGGGTGGGGTCACGCTAGTACATTTTGCCTATCATTTTGTTCTGCTTCTCCAAACGATCTTAACACCAAATGCTATGTAATAAGACATTACCAATGTGCGTTCAATGTGCATGTCTGTGTATGAGTGTTGTGTTGAGTGTTGTGTAATTTATTTAATACAATGAATACTGAATTTAAAAACACAGCTTACAAAGGATGAAATGTATACTTTTGAAGGATGTAGGAGGAATAACAATGAAACCCTTCGAATATTACTTTGTATGAACTTAACATTAAATGTTATGTTTTTAAACATTATCGATTATACGTTCAAGGTTCGTACATGTATACAGATGTGTGTTAATGTTATTTAAACTTTTTCATAATAAAGACGGAAACTTTTATAAAATATTTAAGAAATCAATCGAATAACAGCCACATCAAAATACATATTTGATCTATACTACTGCTGTCGGATCTTATCATACATCAAAATGGCTTCAGTAATTGAATTCTCTTCATTTAGCCAATACAAATTGATTTAAAATGTGGGGTTTTATGTAGGGATTAAGAAACCATAGTAAATTGATCAATTCAAATGGGACACAATTTATTTTTACTACGGGGATTTTGGAAACGCAGCCTTCATTACTACTTATAAGGCTTTCGTCCGCCCATTTATAAATGTATTCAGATCCTTATTGGATGTTTAAAAATCAATACAACCAAACGAAACGTTAAATCCGTTTCAGCCTCTCCCACCCAAAAATGATAATAAGAAAAAGGTAACCGCTTTAAATGAATGAATTCATTTTAGGATATGTCAGATGGATTTAAAAAGTCGAATGGGTCTAGAATTTATATAAATTGGATCCTTTCTCACCTCAAGTAATAAATTCTAATTTAGAAACGCTTGTTTCCTTAAGTGAACAAATAGGAAAGCGAAGGTTTTTTGATAGAAATGATCAAAACATTGGAATTCTTCATCTGCTTAGTGGTATAAAAGGATGTAGTGCAAGTAATATAATTTTCCTATACTTATTTTTAGTAGAGAAAGAAATGAGGAATTGCAGATTTCTTGACGTTAGAAAAGAAAAAACTACAAATGTTTTTTCTGTTAAATGGTATAAATCATGTGATGTCAGTAAATAATTAAATCCTTATTTCCAGACCAAAATATCTTGTCATAACTTATATTTCTTTTTGGCATTTCACAAAGATGAATTATGTCATAATACACTGCTATATTAATTAGTAGAAGTGCTCATTTAAATTACATTTATTCAAGATCTGATAAGGCATACCAATACTAAATACATATTATATTCTAAAGTTAATTTTAGCCTTCATCCTGGCGTTTGGGTGAAATTACAGTGAATCGCATTGTACACAAAATCTTTTGCCGGCTTGTGGTGCCAGACTTCCGTATATATTACACACTACACTTATTATGTTATAAAGGTAATGAATTTATTAATTTCGCATTAAACGAGATGTTTACCTTTAACGGGCAATGAAGGACCATGTGCGTGACTTTCAGTTTTGATGTAAGATACCTGAGAAAAATCAAGATAAAATAGGATAAAGAAAGAAATATTCATCTCCCGGTTATGAGGGTTATATAGATTTTGTGAAAGTATTCATAGATATTGTGTTTGGGAAGTATGAAACAATGATTTAAAAACTGATTACCGTCTATAATATGTTACATTAAGATATTATAAATATGCGTTTTCTTGAACAAGAAAGCAAAGCAAAACAAAACAAACAAACAAACCATTCTTTCATTACGAGGATACCACATACTTTGTGTTTAATCTTTATACATGTTCTTACTTATTTTTTATTTGCTGTTATGAATTTATGTTCATGATTTTGTTATTATTATTATTATTATTATTATTATACATATATTTGTTAAACTATTGTTCCTCATTGTGTTTAATAGGGCCTCATGGAAGACCACCATTATTGATGATAATAAGTCACCCTGCCTAAATATCAGAAATAAATAAATAAATAAACAACTTAATAAATATACAGACACTGGCAATAAAATAAAATTACATTATATATAGGCCTATAGTTGAAACGAAACTCAAAATGTTAACATATGATATCAGTTAGATGTAATATATACAGACAAAGCTTTAACCTCAAGAACAAAGGTTGTGATTAAAATGTAGATTTTTAAAATTTGAACAGAAAAACAAGTAATAAGAAGTTAAAACCTGTAAGATTAACTTAACTTATGTCAAATTAACTTTTGAGAAGTTTTCTTAACGGCGATGTTATTGTGAGAGGTTGCTTATTTACATGAACTCTATTAAATTGCAAAAGGGCATGTAAAGTTCTTCATGGTTAATATCAGGTAGGATTCCTAACAAAGCAGTCCATATAGTTATGATAGCCCCGCGTACTATCTTTATATCCGTTTAAGTACACGAATCAATAAGTGTTTAGATTTCTATAAGCCGAATGATTTATGGTGAATTATTACCATTTTAACAATATCTTTGTTCAGACGGCCTATAACCATGATAATAATGAAAAGATTTGTCATCACCGAAGAAGGAAATAAAATTATTTACTGCGATCTATCAATAGTTATGGCAATCATTAATACAGTATCACTCTACGATACTATGATAATTACATATACACACGTACACTATGTAAAATATTCCAGAAATATCAGCTACTACGTGGGAAGAATGAAGTTAACTTTTGCTTTTAAACGTGCTACTTAATAGAAACGGAATAACACCCATAGAGAGATTTGATATGTACAGTATCGACAATTAGAAGGAAAAATGTCTTGGGCAGTTAACTATAAATGTTAATTTTTCATTGAAGGTCAAACTTGTATTTTTCATCAGAAACGTGGCACGTTATAACCGAGCAACGGGTTAATAACTCAGGAACTAAATGACATAATAAATGTATGGAATAATCGTCCTTGAGTTTATTACCGATAGCGTGACCTGAAATAGTAAGAATAGAAAAAAGCAACGCCTCTAAACCAGGTTAAAGGCATCGTTAAAAGCGGTACAAGGCCCGCTGGTGATTAAATTCTATTGAAGTATAACGATTAGAAACAGCCATTTGCTTAATGAGGTGTTTAATGTAATATGAAAACTGATACACTCCCACATAAATACTACCTATAGAGTGCTCAAAAGAAGTGTATGTAAGTAGGCTCAGCTTTAGAATCACATATTGTTAAAGAGCATAATTATTGTATTGCTTGCAGAGATATAAGGCGCAGAAGAATAACACTTGTTGCTGTACAAAAATCCGTTCAATAGTAAGGCCTATTGAACCACAATATTGCAAAAATCATTTGTTTCAATGTCATGCATGGTTATTCGTTAAACAATGTTCATTCTGACATTATTTATTAAGTGTTTTTGTGGTAGATATTCACTCTATTGATATACAACACCAGTTTCAAATACAGGATATAAGAACCTTATTTCGTCACGCTCATAGCATGTAGATTATTTTCACCTTCCTTTCGTTTCACACACGACCTTCTAATGATGTTTGTGAGCAAATTAGAATTGTGACCTGAGAATAACTTCATACTTATCAAATAATATCAAATCAAAGTCAATAAATGTTGTGCGAGCTTACAAACAAACAGTGCATTGGCTTAAAGAGTACAATAATTTTGATTCGGCATGATAGTCAAGCATTTGAACTTATACCTTTTTTCGTCAACTAAAGTTATCTTATACTGACAAAATATATAATACACTGCACTACGCTGAACTTGTAATTTGTATCTTTTATTAACAGCCTCTTTGTTAAATTCACAAAAGTAAACTTAAGGAAGGTCTATATACCACCATTTGTAAAGATTTCACATCATTAATGAAATGATTTTGTTTGCATGATTAAACTTATGGTAGGTAAGTATGATTTAGGAGCAGAGACTGGGTTTTCAAATTATTTTAAGGGTGATTGAATGAATTTGATTATTATTTTTGTTTTAAATCTGTCCAAAGGAATGAGGTCTGTGAAATTTGTTATGGTTATAAACAAGACAGATTTGTTTGACTGATCATTGAAATATAATTTCTATCAAAGTAGTTTTAACGCATAAAAATTGTTTGCCCTACGACAGATCTTTATCAGCACGATCACAATCTAGATAAGAATGTCTGGCCCATTACGCCGGGGTTTGTGGCGACAACAATACAACAGCTACGCTCGCTTTCACCAAGATCCCAACTAAGTTTCATAATTTCTGCACAGCAAAGGGATCTGTTCTATAGCTCTTTAAAACGAAGTTTTGACGGGTAAGCACAGTGCAGGCACCGTCGCAATGGTGCAAATAAAAAATGGAAAAACAAGGCGGAAAAGAGCCACGGGGGCAATAGGCGCAGTCATGTGGGACCTTCGCCTGCCGTCACGGCTAGTTTGCGACACCATATTGCCGATCATTTGGTTTTTCGTGGGATTCCTATAGCGTTTTTTTTTTCTTTTCAAATTTATGATTTTGATGGTAAACTTGTCTAGGATTTCACCCTCTCCCATTTTGCCTGGTTGATGTGAAGTAATAGAACCCTTTTGCCTTAGGGATATTTACCACGTTGCTTGGTGTACATACACGCTGTGTTGGTTTGGTCAAAATGAAAGAAAGAGAGAGAGAAGAGAGAGAGAGAGAGAGAGAGAGAGGAGAGAGAAGGATGGAATAATTTCTGAAGGGCTTGTGAAAGACAGGAAGAGTAGAATAGAAAGCCCCAACATAAAGAATGATATTGCAATGTAAATAAAGATAAACAAGTAAAAACGAAATTAATTAAGACAGGCAGAGATGGTGTACAAAGAGAGGGAGTGAGAGAGAAAGAGAGAGAAAGAGAGAGAGAGAGAGAGAGAGGAGGGGGGGGGGGGGGAAGTTCCGATAACACTAATATGAAGTGAAAACTTATGACGATTAAATTGCGCCAGGCATTTGCTGCAAGCATAATTAATATTTCATCGGCCAATTCTGTGGGCAAATATGTTTTATTGACAATCAAGATCATTTGTATGGACATTTTTCCCGAAATGTATGAACATTTTTTTTACCATCAATGTATGACAAACAATTTCATAGTGAAATCATGATGCGCTTAGTTAGTAAGGAATCATTTAGTTTACTTACTTTTTGGTATACTTAAAATAAGTTTTGTTCGCTTTAAGCTATAGGTTAGGGCATGAGTGCCGGATAAAATGAGAGCTTCTGAACAGTCCAGTGTTATAGTAATGCCAATATATATATCGTGGTATAACTTTTAGCAGAAAATCTTTAAAGAAACAAAATATGTATATACCAAAACGGAAGTAAACGAAATTATTTCTTACTAAAAGGATCATGATTTTGCTATTAAAAAATCCTCATGAAGGAAATAAAAAGGTAAAATACATCATTGTACCAAGCAGAAATAAACAAGTTAATAAACAACTCTTGATCTAATCTGTCAGAAAATAATAACTCAACCGCTTTTCTTCTGTGAGTTAAAGGACTTTTTATTTCATATCTTCTTCCACCCTGTGCACTGTGGAATATAATCTTCTAAACTTCCTCGACGTGCAGTAGGGCAATGACGGGACTGACAGGCCGACGTGAGCGACGGTTTCTCCTTCGATGGAAACTTACTCTGCCGTGGTCTCTTCTATCTTCAAATATTTGTCGTCTTTTTTTTCTTCTTCTTCTTCCAAACCAGTAGCCTACTCTATATTTGCTCATATAACCTAAAGCAAACACCTACAAGAATAAGGGCCTTTTCTCCTAAGGTAGCAAAAGCTAGGAAATAGTCACGTAAACATAAAAACTCCGAAATTGGAACTGGAACACAGAGGCCATATCAGTCTTGGTGATGTTCTGCTCTTTGTTTCACTTGTCAGATTAATGTAAGAGTTTCTTTAAAAATGGGACACGGCTGAGATCTATTTATCGCTTAGGAGAGGAATATTAGGTCAAATTTGTCCGGCCAATTATGACGACACGTACCTACAAAAGCACACATTAATGATAACGATTTCGGATGGAGGCTCTTCCTAAACAGACATAATTATCATAATATTCCAGGTGTATAGCTGCTCAATAAACCCGGATCGACACGAATTCGAAGATATTACAAGGGTTCATGGAATAGCATGATGGACAGGATTGGGAAGTAATTAAGAAATTGTCAAAGTATGGTTCTGCTTCCTTCTTTGGTATCGTATACGATTTCGATAAAAGGTTTCAAATGCCATCAATCTTTCTCCGACTTTTTAATATATTTTTTATCTGCATCTACAAATTAACCTGGCATTCTTTTTGTAATTCATAAAGAGAATGATATATAGTTTTGTGAATCCCTCAAAGGCTTGTTAACTTGATAACTTGATAGTCGTGCATTTACCCGATTTGGTTACACTTCAACTAAATTTAGGGTTATGTTTACCGCAAAGACATGCACTTTACCCAGCCCCAACATTATTTTACAGTGCACTAAATAACCAAATATTGTCACATTCAAAATGCACTTTATTATGATAGGTAGAGAGTTAGGGTTAGCGT